TCCCTAAAAACAGCTGCAGGTCACTGCAGATGTCCTAAACTCATCTAGAACCCTTCTTGATTTTGTCACGGGCATCTGGAACCCAATCTAAAAGCGTTTTTGGTGCTTGTCCTACGTCTCAACTCTTATCGGTGCCCACTGCCGGTACCCACCCCCACTTAGCTCGGTTTATGAGACCACCTTGTCTGAGGTAATTCTGACGTAAGCAGGACAGCGGCTCCACGTCACTGGATGACTCGCCCAGCAAAACCGCAAACTACATCTGAACCGCCACTTCATCACCGTGTTGACGGACAGCGCCACAAGAAACGAGCGCATTTACAGTGAGATACCAGAGATGATGGCGCAGCACAAATACACCCGCACTTATAGGCAGTGACGAGATAAGCTAAAGAGTTTTGAAGTTCGATTACAGGGCGATTAAGAACCACAACGGACGAAAGGAAAGTGGTGACCACTTTGCATTGACGATCACCCCACAGAGCGGGGAAACAAGTCCGTGGCAAATCACCTACAAGATGTAGCGCAGCCTGGACAACTGTTTAACGAGCTGTAAAAACTAAATTAAGTAGCTTTTTTTTGTTTTTACGCGGTGCAACACACTCACTAGTCAAAAACACTAAAATACGTGCCCACTTTCTTGAAATTTTGAGTCACAAACTAGTTTAAAACGACTGCAGCCCAGTGAGAAATTACCTGAAACAAAATTAAATCCATTTTTTAATCACTGTAATACCAATAATCTCAATCCATCTAAATTTGATGAATCCTGTTCATTCTGATTTGGATCAACTCGTCCATCATTACTGTGTAAAGGGTTTAAGAAGGGGAGAGCACAATCCACTGACTGAGGAGAGCAAATCTGATCGACAGGCTGATTGTTGTCGTGGCAACAGCAAGAAAAGAAACAGGTTAGTGATGAACAAAGGAGGGGAAAAGGCGAAAGATGAAGCTCGACAGGCGGCAAATTAAATCTGACTGTTCTGTTGAATCACATCATGCAGTTCACAAAGACAGAAACGTGTAGATAATTAACCTGAACACAACCACAAATGTGATGTTAGACAGTCATGACACAGTTTCTTCACATCTTTAACAAAAACTAACTGAGCTCCTGAGCAGAGCATGAACGACGTCATCAGACGTTAGAACGGCAGCGGAATGCGTCTTTTTTCTTTCTGCAGAAAACTCTTTGTTTGGCCCGGGTCAGAGATTTTCTGAGAGCAGAGGACAAACTGTAGCGTCGAGTGTCGAAGCTTTAGCTCTGAATCAGACTTTTATTAAGTGTACGCCATGAATTACATTTACCACTTTGAAAATTAATGGATGGATGGAATCTGTTAAAACCTTGTAGTCGAAAAACAAAAGACTTTCCCGGTTCTTGAACCGAGAAACAGGTCTCGCTTGTAAATGAGTCTTCGAGGCTCAATGTGATTTATCTGGATAAATAAAGGTTGAATGAATGAAAATGCATCCATGTAGGCAAAAAGCTTTACAGTGAATTAAAGGAGATTAAAAACATTTTTGTGAGTATGAATCTATTTTTTTTTAATAGTCAGAGGCTGGTGAGGCGTTCCGTTTTATTCTTCTTCCAATGTTCAGCTATTTATTTTGGGAAAAATAAGTAAAAACACTCTAAATAGCAACATATAGTCAAACTGTAAGTACAGTAGTCCCTCGTTTATCGCGGGGGATCCGTACCCTGAAGACCTGCGACAAGTGAAAAACCGCAAAGTAGGAATAGTAGTACAAGTAGTAATTAGTAGTTTATTTTATTATTTATATAGATATATAAATAAAGGCGTTTTAAACCACACGCTTACAATATTCTAATCAATGTTTCTAAACTCTAAAAGAGCACACGTCATGATTTCAGCTCCCTGCCTCCGCTGCACTCGGCCATCTGCAAGCGCGCTTGGCCACGCCCACTTCTCTGCTCTGCACGGAGAACAGCTGATCAGCTGCAGGAGGAAGCTTATCCTGCAGTATGGGCTGCACAAAGGTGCAGCAGGTGCTAAATAAAATAATTCATTTAAAATAAAAATTTCACGCCCTGCGTGCAATCAGCCAATTGTGTGTCATGTCCAATCTTATTTTGAAAAACCACGATTGAGCGAGTCCGTGATAAACGAACCAAGAAGTAGCGAGGGACTACTGTATTTCTAAAAGCGTTGAGTAAATCTAGAGTTTTTCATTTTATATGTTTCTCTCTCAAAAGTTAAACTCGATTCATTACGTTTTGTTGAGCCGAGCCCGATCATTTGCCCTTCCTTCAATGAAGGACGTAAAGCTCAGAGAACCCCTGGGATAAGGAAACGCCATCACATCTCTTAAAGACGGGTGTACGCTGTGATGAGGAGCGTGCGGTTACATTTGCTGCGGCGAGCTTGAAGCTGTTAAACAGAAGCCTTTACATTCACACGTCAGCCTGCAAGCTTTCTACTGAAGAGAGAGCAGCAGAGCAGGTTAACGAGTGTTTGTTGGCCACGTTAGTGCTAGGCTGGCTCATGCATGTGTGGACCGGTTCAGTTGTGTGTGTGTGTGGGGGGGGCGCAGGCTCTGGTGAGGCATCTCTGACAACACCTGCTTCTCTCAACATTACCCAGAGGGCTTTTTATTTTTAAAGCCGCCACACCCAGTCAGGTGTTGCTTATTAAAATGCAACGCTTCAGTTTGGTGATTTCAGCTCGAACACGGAGGAATGAGCAGAATATCAAATGTCTGATCATGAAAACATGAAACGTTTTAATCAGTTGGGCATTACTCCTCAGCGTGTAAATATTTAACAGGTTGCCATGGTGCCAGAGACCCGAGCGTGCGCCTTTTCGTGACGGTTTTTCGCTTGCAGCAAAAACAACCGCTTGTTTTAAACAAGACGTTTAGTTTCAAGCGGTAAACAGAAACGTGTGCACGTGGCTCAAAGCAAACTGTGAAGCCGAAAACAAAAAGGTGAGCAGGCCAGGACACTCAATCAGCTGAACAGGTTCTGCAGTTCCAGGTTAACTTTAGTGTGAAAGCACGGCGCCGCTGTTGGGAGTCGGTGGGCTGGTACGGACACAGGTGATCTTTAAAAGGAGTTTGGAAATCTTCTAATTTGATCCCAGTTGTGATGACTTCATACACAACTCCAGCTGAGACGACATCATGAGGCTTCTGATAACTGAAGCAGTGGTTCCCAAGCTGTGGTTACATGAAGCATCAACGTTGGGGTCTTGAGATTAAATTAAATTAAAATGTAAATAACATAGTTTTACTGTTTCTGCTCCATGAGATAAAAAGCATCGATTTGATTCGGCTTCAAAGTCTCAGGGCGTTTCACAACTAAATGAAAGAACAATTAGATTATAATTATTAATATCCAAGTTGCTGATATAGGTAACGGTATCATTATGCTGTTGTTAAATTAGCCTGAAAACTTAAGTCCAAAACACTTTGGGTCATGAGTTTCTGTAGCAGTTGTTTTGTGGATCGTACGTTAATAAACAGCTGGGATCAGGACCCGGCGTGGATCATTAAACTTGAAGTGGGGAGGTTTGAGATATTCTCCAGAAATTAAGTGAAGACTCTGTAGCCACCTGAAGAGGGTCTTGCTTTTCTATCAACTTTAATGCGGCACGAACCGCAAGGTGTTACTTCAAAACGACCGGCTCGGCACCGTGATGTGTGCCGTTACTTTTATTGGCAGTCTGAGTTACCACGGCGACGTAATTTGCAAACAAAGACGCCATTTTTCTCATTGAAAAACACTGACAGAACTCTTCACAGCCTCTAAACGCCAGTGAGGTCACATGACCTGAAGGGGAAAAGTCTCAACGAAACACTGATTAACTTTTGGAGCCATTTTGGTTCAAGATGGCTGCCACAGCTACCTTAGAAAACTCAAAATTGGCTGTAACTGAGCCATTCTTTGAGATGTTGAGCTGAAGTTTGGTTTGGTCGTAGCTGAGAGTGAGTTCTTATAAATTCCCAATGTAATGACCACCTGAGCTAAAAGCAAAAAAAAAAAAGAACGATAACTTAGCTATTACAAAAGATACTGAGCTGATATTTGGTGTGGTGGTAGCCGAGAGCAATGCTCCATAACTACTGAATTTAAAAAATTTAAATTTAAGAATCAAGATGGCCGCCTTTTACATGCACAGAGTTTAAATTTGGTGAGGTTGTAGCTGAGAACGTTCCCCGTCACTTACTGGATCCAAATCAAAAATCCAAGATGGCTACCATAGCTTAAAAGAAAAAAAAATGGCTATAACACATTGATGTGCTGCCACGTTGAGCTGAAAATTGGTGTGATGGTAGCCGAGAGCGAACTCCAACACACAGTACCGTCATATCAACATTTTAAAATGGCCACAACGTGGCAGTCAGTCCCTGCCAAAGGTTCTCATTGAACTTTCTAGTTATCATCATCATCATCTTTAACTCCGCCTACAACCTCAAATTAGCGTCATGACCCTTCAGATCACATTAACTCCTAATATTTATTGCTACATCTGGTTGGTGAAGTGTGCATTAGGATTGCACAATCACTGTATTGCTTGGGGAGAGTTTTTAGCCAAACTAGGAATTTTCTGCGTATTTTGATATGTGGTGGTGGGATATAGGTATTTTAGTTTAAAATTTTATGAAACGCATCTATCTAAAACAAGTTCTTGTGTAAATGGAGCCTAAATTACAAAATTAATGCAGAGAGCATACTTTTTGGCCATTATGCTCTTGTTTCATTTACAAACTTTAATCCCCAACAGGTGGCGTACTGTGCTGATTGTAAGTCGAACGGTTTGGGAACCACTGGTCCAAATCAGCTTTCAGTCTCTTTTTGAGAGCTGCAACCTGAATCGAGAGTCAGCTCTTTGCTTCCGAATCAATGCTCAGTTAAGATTTTAAATATAATGAAGCATAATGAACCGTACCAGCCCTCACTGCCCAGACGTCGCTATCACCAGTTGTTTTTTTCCAGAGAGGCCGTGTTGATTCTACAGCAGTGGATTTGTACTCACCCCGTTCCACTCCACGCCCATACTCACTTCCTCGCCGGTCTCAGAGCCGCTCTCATACTTAACGCTGGTCAGGCTGTCTCTGCTCCTCCGCCTGTCTCCCTCCGTATCTTTCAGGAGCTCCACCACGCGTGTTTGGTGGATTGGATCGATGCCCTGTGATGCATACAGGTGAAAACCACAATGAGAACGTGCGCGGACACAAACGTCGGCTAGAGGACGTGGGGGAGGGGAGAGTACCAGATTTTATGGAGGAATTAAAAGTGATTTCAAGTTTCCTGCCCCTCTTTATGCACAGCTAGCAAATGTTTTAAATGGCAGTGAGATGGGAGTGATGTTAGGGCGAGGAGAGGCAGGAGCTCTACGGGAACTAGCAGAGACAAACCACTTACTGTGTTGCTCTGGATCCAAAGCATTGTGGGGAAAAGGGAAAGAAATAACACGAGACTTCATTTTCTAATGCGGGGGACAATTCAGTTTACAGAAACTGACAAAAGAGTTTTGTTACGCCACTGACCTGCTTGCGAGACCTCACAGCGCACTCCTCCAGGGTCTCTGCAGCCTCTAGCTTGCCCTGCCGGCGGTACAGGGCGCCCAGGTTCCTCAAGGTGGTGTTCACTGTAGGGCTGGAGACACTAGGACTCATAAATGTATTCACAGCAAATACTGACACAGTACAGGTTGAAAACAAAGTACACGACTGAGTCTCCAGCATGCTAATGTCAGTCGTCTCACCTGTTGACTTTGCAGGCCTTGTACCAGCCGCCGTACTCTCCATACGGGGTGTTGTCTCTGTGTTTGCCCTGGAAGTAAATCACACGGCAGAGGAAGAAAAATACACATGAAGGGAAGTTGTGGTCTCGACAGGATCGGTGGCTTTTTTTAGTGTTTACACAAAACAATCGTCTTTCCTCTGGAGCTTATTTAGCGTGTTTTTATTAAACAGTACGAGGCGAGTTCATATTTTACTGTTTAAACGTTTAGAGGATTAAATAAAAGGGTTTGCGTTGCTTTTGTCGAGCGGCGCTTCTCACCTTGCTCATCTCCTCTCTTTCCTCTGCGTGCATCCAGATGGGCTTGTTCTCAGCTGCAGACAAACACGAGAGACGATCCACATATGACACGAGAACACGACCAGAAAACTCGAACCACCTTCTTAAACCTGCAGCTCCTTCATTCATCTGGAAACGTCACCGTCAACTGAAGCTTTGCCCGTTTTGGCAAACAGTTAAAATGTCAAATGAGCCAAACTCATAAACACTTTCAACACGGTTTTAAAAGTAAAAAAATGTTTTTTTATTAGATTGACAATTTGCATCAACATTTTGCAGCATCTTTCGTAAGTAAATTAAAGCATGAAATGAGAAGGAAGACTTGAATAGCCCGAAGAAGTGGTGCAAGTGATACAACATGAACCAAAAAAAGCAACAACACAGTTATCTTGTTTTAAATAAAAACTAATTCTCAGGTAATCTTGATGACTCTGACGTCATCGTTTGAGACAATCCGTATGATTTAGATGTAAACTGTTCAGAACGCATCACCTTCAACTCACTGCTTTAATGACAAATCCGAGCATTATTAAATAAAAAAATGAGCTTCTCAGAAAAAGAAACGAGACGAGCACAACCTGCTGCTTCGCATTTTTTCCAAGAAGTCATTTTAGCTTCCAGCTGAAAGCAAACAAAAGGCAGGTCTGAAGGCGAAAGAGAGCAAACTTCATTTTTTCTTAGCGTTTCTGCAATATAGTCCTCTGAGTGGTGAAGACCGGCACCCTGCTTTGAACATGGCCCACCTTCTACCCCTCTGTCCATCACCGACTCAGCTCGCTGGTGTGAGACGAGCAGCACATGGGAAAACAAAGAAATCTGATCCAAGTTTTTCTTTCACTGTATGTGCTCGGCGTCTAACATCTGCCTCTCCACCGGAACAACTTCGTAAACATTGACCGTGAGCTTCAGCGCCCTTTACGAGGCCTTACCATCCACAGATCCAAACTCCTTCTCGTGAGCGCGGGTCAGAATCTCTTTGTAGAGGATCTCGGCCTCCTTGTATTTCCCCTGTTTCAGGAAACAGGACGCCTGAAGAAGAAACGGAGCAGAAAGTGCATTTTAGAACCCGACTCACAGCCATTAATTTATAGTGATATTGACATTTGTTACATTTTAATGAGGAAAAAACCAAAGTGATGGTTCATAGTAATGCTACAGCTTCTGCCTCTTTGCATCTCGATTCCCTCGCCCAGTACATCAAACCAACCGTCGCCAATTTAGGCGTCAAAACTGACGGCAATCTGAAATTTGACAGTCGGTTGTAAAATCTAGTTTCTTTCATTTGAGGCGGTTTGTCAAGATGAGGTCTGCTCTTTCCCAGTGAAACAGTGATCTGTTACGACTCGGATGGACCGTTGCAACACTCTGCACGTTGAAGTTAGTGCGCCCACAATCACCCGTTTACAGATGGTGCAAAATGTCTTTTAACTGGAAGTCCATTTAAAAATATTGTATTTGTTATAAATCTTTAAATGGTCTTGTCCCTCCTTATCTTTCTGAGCCATTACACTCTTGCGTGCTTGCCCTGTGGGAGTTCTGCTCCAACAGCTCCTGCACCCACAGCCGGACTCTAATCAGCTGCACCTGTGGTTCAGACTTAATGAGCGTGAGGAGCACAAAAGGCTGCAGAAGACATTCAGCCAGCGCTGGAGCACTGCCAACGGTAGTCTTGTTCTAGCCTTTTACTCGCGTCTAAAACCAAGTATTAATGATTTGCATCTCTCTCCGTGCCTCCAGTGAGTTACCCTTGATGTCCTCCTGTTTCCCTCCTCTGTGGACCTCAAGCTCCTCTGGGCCTCACCAGATGCCACCACACCTTCCTACCACTTGCCCAACGCCTTTTATCGTCCAGACGTACATCTCCTTTGCCTGAAACCTTTTGAGTCAGCCCTCCCAACGTCTGACCCCGACCTCCATCGTAAGGAAAATCAGCAACAACATCATCACCTTCGACTACAGGATTCCTAATCACCTCTCTGCTCTTCAGGGATCCAGTCTCCTCCCTGGCTTATTGCATTATTTATAACTTGCAAATAAACAGTGTAAATTCATTCTGAGTCTTGGTCTCATTGGTCTTTATATCTGGGTGTAGCGGCAATCGTTACATGCTCTCTCTGGTCCGCTGATCAGCTGCTCCTGACTAGACCAAAAGCTGGTCATAAGCTCAGAGGGGACCGCGCTTTTGGGGTGGTGGTGCAAAAATTGTGGAACAAACTGCCATTAAACATTAGACATGCATCCTCAGCCGCTTTTAAATCCTCGTTTAAAACTCATTTTTATTCTTTAGCTGTCGCTACATTTGAAGTGTTGATTTTTATGGTGTCGTTATTTTTCCTTATTATCTTTATTTCTAGTTTAATTAATTGTGCATCCGTTTTTATTGCATTTTACTGTACAGAGCTTGTTCCATTGAGGAGTTTTAAAGGACTTCATAAATAAAGTTGAGTTGAAAGGAGATACGAGCGAACACTTACAGAACCTTTGCTTTTACAAACACAAAGAAAACCGACTGTTTCAAGTCAAGGATCTCATTAACAGACAGATTTTTTTTTTTGCAGAGACTCAGCTTGAAGTAATGTTTCTATTAAAAATCGGCAGTTTGGGTTCATGTCGTTGCGCCCACAGCTCCACAGAGATCGTTTCCTGGCGTCAGCGTCACAGAGCTAAGAGGTTTGACAGGAGGAGGAAAAACACACCATATGAAAATGGGTTTGGTTGTTTCAAACGTCTCACCAGGTTGTTCTTGGTTTTGGCCACGTTGGGATCATCCGGGCCCAGCCTGCACTCGTAGATCTCCAGGGCACGGCAGTAATAATATTCCACCTCCTCGTATTTGCCCTGATTCTGGCACAGGAGAGCCAGGTTGTTCAGCTGTTTGGCCACATCTGGGTGGTCCTTCCCGAGAACCTGACGACAATCCAAGAACAAAACGTCTTGAATTAACACGTCTCCTCGTCTTTCAGACTAATCGGCCTTTTTGATGGCTCTACATCCCGAGGAGATCTAATTCAGATACATCGAAAACAGTTATTGTGAAAAAGTTCAGTTTTTGACAGTTTCAGAAAGTGAAACTCGTTACACAGATTTATTACAGAGTGAAATATTTCAAGCCTTTATTTCTTGTCATTTTGATGACTGGTTTAGAAATAATTAAAAACCCAAACTCAAAAATTAGAATATTGTAAAGAGGTTGAATATGGTAAAACTCGTGGTGTCACACCCAGATCAGCTGATTGACTCCAGGACATGAGCTACAAATGTCTCGTTCCTCAAGTCCAGCCACTCCTGAACCAGAGACAGTCAGAAGTGTCTTACCTGCAGAGGAGACAAAGAACTGGACCCAGAGGTTCGATGTCCACTTTTCAGATTAAAGTAAAATTTCATGTCATTTATAAATCAAGGTCCCAGAGTCTGGAGGACGAGTGGAGAGGTCCAGAATCCACGTTGTTGAAGTCCAGAGTGAAGTTTCCACAGTCAGGGATGGTATGGGTCCACGTCCTCTGCTGGTGCTGCTCCACTGGGTGTTCTGAAGAGCACAGTCATCTCAGCAGGACATTTTAGAGACGTCATGTTTCCATCGAGCTTTACGGAGACGCCGAGTTCATTTTCCAGCAGGACTTGTCTCCGGCCCACACTGACAAAGGTACCAAAAGCTGACTGTGGAATATTCTCGTTCTCTGAGACACCGAGTTTTATTTTATTATCTGTAAGCCAAACTCATCCAAACTACAGAAATAAAGGCCTGAAATATTTCACTCTACATGTAACGATTCTATGTATTTGTTTTACTTTCAGAAATTAATTAGAAGAAGAAAAAAAAAAAAAAAAAACTTTCTGTGATATTCTTATTTTTTTAGATGCGCCTGTAAAAGACTCTAAAACAAACTCTACAGAGTTCAGTGATTTTACACATTGCATCTCCAACCTCACCTCTCTCCAGCGGTTACAGTCTATTTTGAGCTGTGCTCTCAATTAAAACCTCTAATTGCCTGTTTCCAGCAGCTGACGGCTTGAGGTGATGTTATTGGAAATATTATCAAAAGGTAACAGCTTTAGAACAGTACGATGAAAGTTCACTGGTCTGCCGATGCTGGGATCCAGCCCACCTTTTCTCTGATCTCCAGAGCCCTCTTACACAGAGGCTCGGCTTCTTTGTACTTCCCTCTCTTTCCGTACAGCACAGCCAAGTTGTTCAACGTTGCAGCGACCTGGAGACAGAAACAGAAAACTGAACCACAGAGATGAAGGCGTGGACGCTGAGCCTTAAATGACTCTGCTGGAATTCTCTCAAGAAGCTGAACTGAGTTGCAGAAGTCTAGCAAAAAGGAACAAAATGCTAATTAAAAGGCAAAAGTGAACTTAAAGATAAATGCAGCAAAAAGCTAGCTTAAAGCTAAAAAGGTAAACGGCTAGCTTAAAGGTAAAAATAGCCGATGACATCTAAAAGCCAAATTAGCCATATGATTTAGCCATTTGCTAAAATCAACAAAGGACTTGGTTAACATTTGCAAAAGGATAGCTAAAAGCTAAACACTTGTTAAAACACAACAAGAGTTGGTAATAGTTAAAAGTAATGAAAAGTTTTGCTACTTTCAGCTTTTAGTTGAAAAAGGCAAGCTAAAAGCAACTAAATGCTAGCTAAAAGCTAAAAATAGCAAAAGGCTAGAACAAGTTGGTAAAATCTATAAGTAGCAAAAGGCATGCTAAGAGTAGCCAGTGAGTAGCTAAAAGTACCACAGGAGTAGCTAAACAAAGCAAAAGTAGCAGAAAGGTGACCGAAGGCACTGAAAGCTAAAAGAAGCGGTACAGTAGCTACAAACAAAAATTGGAATAAGAAGACAAGAGAACAATGTTGCTGAAGGAAATTTAGAAACTGTGATGGTTTTTTATGGAGGAGGAGGAGGATTTGTAAATATTTAAAACATTTAAAAATGATAAAAGAGACAAGAATAACGAATTATAATCATCTTCTGAATGGGCTAAAATGTTCTGGTAGGTTACAAACACAGATTGCAAAAATAGTAAAAACAAATTGAAATGTTTAGAAAAAAATTGGAAAAACAGTGTGAATACAAATGCAAACCAAAGCTGTCCACTTGAATTTTGACCCCTGTTCGCTGTTCAAAGGACTCTGAAAGAGATGGACTGCATCTCCTGAGAGCTGAGTGTTACCTGCCTGTTACCTTACACAGGTAAGACTCTTTGTAGAAAAGAGAAACACACAAACTGAAACACCCAGAGAAGTACTTGAAATATTCAGATGTGCTGTAAGAGCCCAGCATGTCTGTATCTTCATGTTATGGAAGAATGTTTGGACCCGGTCCGTACTGATTCTCAGAGCAAACCTTACTTCAACAGGAACACCTGAGAATGACCGCGCAGGCAGGGCGGTAAACATAACACTGTGCCGACTGCTCCTTCGCCGAGCAGTTGTTTTGAACAAACTATTTATTGAACTGTGGAGTCTTACGGCTGGATGGTCTTTGCCCAGGGTTTTCTCACGGATGGAGAGCGCATCGTTGAGCAGATGAGCTGCCTCTTTGTATTTGTTTTGATCCCTGCATTCACAGACGAGAAGAAAACCACTAATTTATCAAACAATCAAAGAAAAAAATGATAAAAACCTGGAAGTTTTTTTCTGACCTATAGACTAAGGCTAAAATGTTGAGCATGGTGGCAACGTCAGGATGGTCGTGTCCAGAGGTCTTCTCCAGGTCCTCCAGAGCCTGCTTGCAGAGGGGCACCGCCACCTCGTACCTGCCCTGCGAGGCGTACTGGATCACGAGGTTGTGCAGGGTTCTCAGGCGAGCTGGAATCTCGTAGCCGCCCTGCTGGGCTGCAGCTACAGCCGCACTGTTGTGTTGGTGCTGCACTGTGAAAGACAAAAACAAACAAAAAAACAACTCCGATTTAATTATAGTACCGAGTACATCTGAAAAACTCTGGAAAAAAAAAAGTCATGAACTAAAATGATTAGTTATGTTTATTTATTTTTTGTTAAATTAATGCAATATTGTTTAATTGTATCTAAATAATCCTCGTATCACACCCTTAAAGACCAGGTTAGTCCTCTACATTGTCTCTTTACACAGCTGTACTTACTTCCTTGACCCTGCTCCTCTTCATCGTTGGGGAAGAGGTCGTCCAAGTTGTCCTTTGGTGTCTCTTTGTCTTTCTCCTCCTGCTGAGGGAACAAAATAAACCGGCTTGTCAGACAGGTCAGCAAACACAAACGATGGAAGGCAGTTTGTGTGAAATCAAAAACAAACGACAGAAGATGTGTAGAAATGGAAAATTCCAACATATTCTGTTTTAGAGCTAGAGACCGTCAGACATTTAATTTATCATCTTGGTAAAATCACAAAACAATAACAGGATATCTAAAAAAAAAAAAAAAAAACCTGTAAAGTGATGTACTCGAAAATTAACTATGTTTCAAACCACACAGACAAATTTATAAATTAGGCGGCCAGAACCAATTTAAATCGAGCTAAAAGCTACGACTGGTGAAAAGAGTTAATTTTATCCCAAAAAGACTTTTAGCAGGTTCCTGCTGATAGAGGCAGCTGATGTGAATCATTAAACTCTTGTTTTGTCACCAAGAATATGATAAGAAAACGCAGTGAGTGACTCATTCCTGCTACACCGTCAATAAAGGTCCCACTGGAGCAGCTCATTCTTAGAAAACTGCATTTTTTATGTATTATCAACAAACAACAGCAAACTTCTTAGTTTAGCATAATATGCAACAGACCTGAGGTTCAGCCACAACATTTTAAGGTAACTTTAGGTTTAGTTATCGTTTAAAACACTTTGCATTTTGACATTTTTTTAAATGTAGCTACAAGATGCAACCTGTGGCTCAGGGGCCACATGTGGCTCTTTGGTCACTCTACACCAGGTCTTTGTAAACTTTAATAAATTAATTAAAAAAAACATAGAAAGACATAATGTTCTATTTAAAATAACAATAGAAAAGGGTAGTTTAAGCTGTTTAGCCCGGTAGCTTGTCAGGTGGTTAGACTTGTAGCTTGTTAACCAGTTAGCTTAATAGCTTGTTAATCCACTAGCCTAGTAGTTTGTGAAGCCATTATCCTAGTAACTTGTTAACCAGTTAGCTTAATAGCTTGTTAGGCTGTTAGCCTAGTAACTTGATCACCTGTAAACCAAGTAGCTTGTAAACCTGCTAGTTTGAGTGTTAGCTTGCTGGCCTTGTAGCCTGTTAGGCTAGTAGCTTGTTAGCATGCTATCCTAATAACTTGTTAGCCTGTTAGCTTAATACCTTGTTAGCCTCTCAGCCCTGTAGCATGTTAGCTCAATCGCTTGTTAGCCCGGTAGCTTGTAAGCAGGTAAGCCAAATGCCTGTTTGCCTAAAAGCTTGCTAGCCTAGTAGCTTGTTGCAGCTCTTTTGATTGTAATGTTTGAACCCCAAGTAATAACAAAAGACCACAAAAAATAAATCTCCCGAATCCCAGAGAAATAATGTAGCAATCATTCAACAGACGGTAAAGTTCTACTTACAGTGGGCGAGACGTCTTCGTCGTACTTTTTGAGCTGGTTCATGAACTCCAGGTGCTTCTTCTCCTCCTCCAGCTGGGCCACGTTCTGCTCACTCTTCTGCAGCTTCTGCTGGGTGTTGGCCAGCTCGTCGCGCAGCCACTGGTTCTCCTGGCAGAGCCTCCTCACCTGCGCGCGCAGCTTCTGCTTCTCGGACTCCACGGCGTTCAAGTGGTTGGACAGGGCCATCATCACCTGGGACGGAGACGGCGTCGAGGAGAGATCACATTTAGGAGGAGAGTAAATAAGAGCGACGAGGCAGAGGACCACATTTGGTCCATTTCTGGGTGAATCACCACACAAGCTCAGTATAGAAGGAGGAAGCAGAAACGTAGAAAACACGCTCTCTTTTCTGACACGGTTTTATACCTGCGCTTCTCCCAGGCCCAGTTCAATCATCTCCACTGACTTGCGGAGCAGATTGGACTTCTCGTGGACCAGGTTGGCCTCTTCATCCTTCTTTAGGCACTTGATGGTCTCCAGCAGGCTGTGGAGGATCGAGTTGTGCTCGTTCTTCAGAGCCTCCAGACCCTGGATCACCAGCTTTGTGTTGGAGATGATCTCCTCCTGGGAGAGCTTCTCGAGCTTCTCTTCTCGTGGGTACACCATGGTCGACATGTTCTCTGGAGCTCAAGGAAACCTGGAGAAGAGTTGAAACAAGATGTGGATAAAACAATAAATTGTGGACTTTTATTGACCATCGTTGGAGATGAAAGGACAATAATGTTTTCCACGTGTGTGTAGGGTTCTCTTTCGTATTAGCAAAACATCTCACAAGCTACTGGAAGGATTAAATAGAACTCTCAGAAAATACAGGAATAATCTTTAAGCACTCTGGTAAAGACTAAAAAGCAAAAGTCTGGCTGTAAAAATGTGCAGTTTCTGTGAAAAAAACATTCTGAGTTGCTGCTGAAATTAGTTGAAGAGGCTGAAGCTTAACTGTAAAAGATGCAACAAAAAATAAAATTGGTAAAACCTTAGCTAAAAGCTAAAATCTAAAAAAACAGTAAGTAAAAGTTTACACTAGCGAAACACTAAGTTAAATTAGCACAACAGTAACAAAAATAGAAAAACAGTAGCTAAAAGCTAAGAATAGCAACAAAAATAAAAATATATTTTGGAAAAACAGCAGAAAAATGTATCAAAACTAAAACTAGCAAAGCGGTTCTTGAAAGTTTTAACAAAACAACAGCTAAAAGCAAAGATTGTTAAAACAATTGCTAAAAACTAAAAGTGGCAAAACAGTAGCTGAAAGCATACACAATAGTAACTAAAATTAAATTAACAAAACCCTTAGCCAAAAGCTAAAGCTAATTAAGCAGTTGATTACACCAAAACCAGCAACACATTAGCTAAAAGTTAAAATAGCAAAGCAGTAGCTAAAATCTAATATTAGCACTACAGTTACTAAAAACTGAATAAGCAAAATAGTAGGTAAAAGGTAAAATTAGCTAACTGGAACTTAGTTAAAGCCTAAATTTGGCAATACAGTAGCCAAAAACTAGCTGAAAACTTCAGCTGAAAGTTATAAAGTCAAAACAGTAGCTAGAAGCTAAGGTTAGCAAACAACAGCAACTAAACATAAAAGTAGCAGAAACAATTGCTAAAGCACAAACCTATAGAATAGCAGCTAAAACGCTCACTATCAACATTAGTTGATTTTACAGATACAGCTAAAATTTGATGTGGTAGTAGCCGAGCGCCATTTTCAACACACCGTGTGAGCTAAAAGATTGTGTAGATCATGTAGAAGGTTTGACCCGAACAGCAACAGTTTCTCAAAATAAGATGCTCTTGGTTTATAACTCTGGCACAAAAGGTGGCGGGTGATATGCATTCTTTCACCTGTGTTTGTTTAAACAGCAACAGCAGAGCAGGAATGACTGAATTCACAGAACAGTTCTGCTGAATGACCGCACAGAGCGGGTCAACGTTTAAACTCCCTACGACCATTCGTGAGTTGCTGATGATGCCCACAACTGAGCTTCCAGAATACTTTCAGTAGCGCGGAACCAAAAGAAGAGTGAAAAAAGGAGCGTGTTGCTTTACGAGTCATACGTGTGGGACAACGTTGTTTTTGAAAACGTGGCGAACAAACTAGCGATCCTGTCGTGATCCGAGAAGATATTGCTAAATGTGAAGATGCAGCTTTTTTTGTTAGAGAGAAGAATGACCGTACGGGAGTTTTGAAGAAGTAGAAAGATTTGGGCTTAGACACAACTAGCTTGTTTAAGAAATGAAGCAATAAAAAACACACAGAAGGCAGATGGTTTGAGAGGGGGGGTGAAGGAAGGCGTCTACGTAAAACAAGAGAAACAATCTTTAAACAGAGGAGGAGGTCTCGGATTTCAATTTTTTAAAACTTCGGCCTGATACTCCGTCATTTTCACTCCTATCAGAGTGGCCCATCTGTGAGTCAAACTAACAAAGACCCTAACGAACCCATACTGTGAGGCGCGATGGGGCAATCTGCACATGTATCTAGCTTAGCTCAGCTTTATAACTCGAACTCCATATTCTCTGTTCTTTGAATTGAGAAAGCTCCATGGACGAGAAGCGAAACGTCTTCCGTTACAAAATGAAGTCCAGTTGTTTTTGTCTTGAACTTTTTTTGAATTCTCACAGGAAGTTCTACTCGAATAAACGTATTCGTCGTTTTGACATTTAAACCCTCCGGCTGGGTGGTCGCCGCAAGCTTCGTCACATTATTCAAATCAGTTTGAGTTGTAAAGACGGCCCATCTTTTCAGAAGTTGAGAGTTGCGGGCCCGTTGCCGACTCGTGGATGGACAGAGGTGCGATAGAGGGAGGTGTCTCGGACACTCGCCGTCTCCTCTGTGCGTCTTCTGAATGAACCGACGTTGTCAAAACACGTCAGCCCTGGACTGAGGCATCGAGTTTGACTGAACTGAAACTTTTCTCTTATTAACTAGAAGCAGCTTTTTCCCCACTTGAGACGTTTTCTTGTAAGAAATAAAAGAAGGTATCAGTGTCCAACTGTGAGGAGCACTCCCTGCTGACGCCGACGGGCACCACGTCATCTCTGAGCTCTGGTAACAGAACCGTTCAACGACAAGAAGCCCGCGAGAGGAAGTAACCTCGATTTTATCACGATAATCCAAACAATACAGTTAAATTACCTCAGCATAACCAGGAAAGCAACTGAACTGAACATATAGGACCCGTGCTGCCAAAATGAACCACGATGAGGATTTTATTATTTTAATGGGAGTCATTATTTTCAAATTCTCCATCTCAAAAGCTCCAAATGATGGGTAGTTTGTGGAAGTTTATAACTTTATCCCATGGCCTAGCAACAAGCTAGCTTTGTTTACAAGACTGCCAGTTAGAAAACTTGATTTATATTAGTTTGGAGCTATTTTATGAGGAAATTCAGTTGTAAATTAATTTTAAAAAAAGGATCTCCAAGCTTCACAGTGACGCCAAACAAAAGAAGATAAAACATTTGCAGGTGCTATAACAAATGGCAGACTAGATTAATGGTTATTTCTAAAGTCAAACTTCTAGGAAAACTTTGATTTAAAGCTAGATAAGAAAAATTATATTTTTATAGTTACTAGAATATGAACTAATTCACACAATGCTGAAATACGGTGAATATCCATATTTTCACGTTTCTTGCCCGTGCTCGTTCTGACTCATTTTCCTACCGCGGGTCACATTTTAAAACAGAAAACCTCTCCATCAAAAAAAAAAAAAAAAAGTTCAGGCTGGAAAAAAGAATTAAGAACTGAATACACGACGGCAAACAGAATAACGAACAAGGATGCACAGATTTTAGAGTCGCTGAGAGAAACGACTGTCTGGATGTGGCACCTTTAATGAGCTCAGGCTGGGAGTGGGGCTGCAGCGCTCTGCGTGGCACAAAGACACTGCGGCACGAGTGTTTTCTGGTGCCAGCATCCAAACCGAAGCCAACCGTAAGCTCTAACCTGACAATGAAAAAGGTCTTGGTCATACAGCTGAGCAGCTGATCGAATCATAGAAAGGGCCTCTGGGACTTCCTATAATCCTGCGTTGAAAAACAAAGTCGGGCCTCGGCTGAGAGCGTGGAACATGCGACACTTTCCACCCCGAGTCCGAAGGTTAACGATGACTCAACGAGGCACATCACTGCTGCCTACATCGTCTAAATGTCAGTGAAAAACAAGACAACACCTTTGGAACCGGGATCCCAAGTCAAATCCATACTTTCTATATTTTAGCTCCACTTTTAATAAACTGCTAAAGAATAAACTCATTCATGTTTGTCTCAAAAACAGCCATTGATGTTGCAGTGACAGAAAACCCAGCAAGCAAAAATATTTTACAAAATATAGATACAGAGCACCTAAAAGGAAACTAATGAAAAAAAGCAATAAAGTAGATTAAAACTATCAGGTGCACCAGACTCTCTTAAGAGCGTGATTCCCCTGTAGTTGGAACACACTCTCTTAAGCCTCC